GTTATCTGGGGTGCTAGTGGTCGGGTATCATCGTTGCCTATGACGTTGTCGTGCCCGTTGGATATTGGCCGACTTCTATCTTCACCCGTTTAATAGATTATGCAGAGATGTCAAATATTACTTTTCCCAGAGTTGGACATGTCTAATTAATTTGAAGATTTTCTAATAATTGGACTAACAACAACAATCCTAAGATCTTTAACTATAACAATTTTAATGAATTTTGTCCTAATTTATATTGAATAAAATTGTATCAACACATTATAAGTATTGCAAATATTAAAATATAATCATACAAATTGTCAAAACAAAAGTAAAAAGAAAACAATACATAAGTAAACCTCAAGCATATATTAAGCAACCACACAAGAAAAAAAGCAAACAAAGAGAAAAATTAATTGGAGAGACATTTTTATTTAAAATTTATTTCACAATTATTTTGTCAAATACTTAAGACTTTCTTTCCATAATTACTTATATGTTTTTAACTAAAATAATTACACGCAACACGCGAATATAAATCTAGTAGTTTCTAATTTAATATCACAAGATATAAAGAAATAACGAAACTAAACAACCAAACATAGAAATAGAAGAGCCGAGTCACATGAAAGGTGAAATGCACTCGCATGCGTCAGATGAACCTGCTCAAATTTCCACAAAAGAAATGGGTATCAAGGTCAAGACAGTCTGATTTCGTGACACCGGAGTGATAGAAATCGAAATGAATTGCTCGAAACACAAGGTCGAGAACCGAGTGGAAATAATTTCCGGCTGTTGTGAATTTCACGTTGCGCATGTACGCGGGTTTTCCAAAACCATAATCATAAAAGAATCCGGATCCCATTTGCGTCTTCGTATGTTGGCCAAAACGATGATTGTTCGTAATTCTTCCACCTCACTTCACCATCTCGGTGTAATCTAAAACGTGTGAAGATAAAATGCCGACCAATATCCAACAGACACACAACAACACCATGGGCAACATAGTTAATATAGTTAAATTAAGTTTATCATCGTTGTTCATTGCATTGCCAATTAAAGATCTTACAGTTTTTGCAGCATTGTCATTGTTGTTAGTCAAACTATTATAAATTTTTCAAAGTAATTAGACATGTCCAACTAGGAATTAATATTTGACATATTACTTGCCATGTTATTTGTTACCTGTTATCCGTCAAATAAATCTTTGTTACTGTTAAATACATATTCGCTACTAGCATTTATAGTTTTAAAAATTAATCTAATTAAAAAAAAATAACAAAACCGAAAATAAAGATGTATAAAATTATTCTCATTTTAATGTGTTGGTTTTTATGATCTGGCTGTTTAATTTGAGTTAAGCTATTACATTATCATCTTGCTATTTACTCAATAAAAGGAAACAAAAAAAAAAAATCATCCAAGTCCAATGTAAGTTTTATTAGCAAAAACATAATTAGTTCATCTTTGACCAAAAAAAAAACATAATTAGTTCATTTATCACATGTAATGTTTTATTCCCCCATTTTATGTTTTTTACAAATTACACGGTTTCATGTGTTAGACCGGGCCTAAAAGGCCCATTTCAACTTAGGCCTTTATTTCTTTATTTGCTCGACCCATCTCATTCATATTCCACACTCGCAGTTATAGCGCGTGAACTAACACGCTCCAACGTCTCTGTTTCAGCCATTTTCCCCAAAATCGCCATTTTCGAGAAGCAGAGCGTCTTTCACCGATTTTGACATGGAAAAACCTTCTTCAAGCCCAGAAAAATGGCAAGCCAAAGTGTCGGCCACGCTTACAAAGTCAAATCCTGAACAAATCTGGCCTCTCTTCACCGATTTCTTCAATCTCCACAAATGGCTACCAACGCTCGCCACGTGTCACGGCGTCCATGGCGTCAACGGTGGGGTGCATCAGATACTGCTCCGGTTCCTCCATACGATCCAGCGGCGTAGAATCAGCGGCGAGATGGTCGAAGGAGAAGCTTGTAGCCGTCGATCATGTGGAGCGTGTGATGACATACGAGATCGTGGAGAGTAACATTGGGTTCGAGTCTTACGTATCGACGGTGAGGGTATCGCCACGTAGCGAAGGCTGCGTGATTGAGTGGGGATTCACCGTTGATCCCGTTGGAGGAGGATTGTCTCTAGATGATCTGGTGAACAAGTATGAGAAAGCACTTGGGGTAATCACCAAGAACATGGAAGATGCTTTTACAGGAACATAATAATCTTCTTTGAAAAGTTGTTTTAAGCTTATAGGAAATGTGTGTGTGTGTGTTTTAGCAAATATATAGATTAGGACCAGAAGTTTGATCATCTTTCCCATGCAAGTATAGTGTTTGATGAAATGTCTGAGAGAGGCATTATCTGGAACTGGTTTTTTTTTTCTTGGACTTGCTTGGATAAGGCAAGAGGGTAAGAAGTAAGAACAGTACTAAATGTATGGATTATTCATGGAAATAAAAAAAGCTTCTAGCTTTACATTTGTCCCTTAAAAATGCAGTTGGACATGATGCTGAATTCAGTTCTTCTAGGGTTTATGTATACTGTGACTTTAGTTACCTCTCACTCTAATGTCAACTGTTTTTTTTAAGAGTGCTTTCTCTTCAAATCATTTTATTGTCAAAAAGAAAGAGTTTTTGCTGACAAAGAAGAGTATGTATTAGAATTTTCACTAGTAGTGGTGAAAATTTTTCAATTGTATTTTTGTCTGCTTGTCATATACATTAATTATATGTCAATTTTCAGTTATCATTCCAGGCCAGGTTTGAACTCAAGACCTCTGCTCATTATGTAGTTCCAGGTATGAACTTAAGATTATTTTCCTTGTTGATCTTTTACTTTTGAGTTCTTTGGTGGAAAGATGTGTTCATATCAGCGATCATAGAAGTAATCATATATCA